TTATTCAATAACGGGACCTTAAGCAGAAGCAGAACAAAAATAATAAATGTCCATTGAGCTGTGCATACATGATGACCTGAAACAATTAACCCATTTAACTACAATTTCAATATTTACATACACAATGACAGAGCTTATACATATTTCTCACACTATATGAAAGACTTCAAACAAAACTGGGTTTGACGAAATAACTTCTTCTTCTTCTGACCCAAACTCGCCCCTAAAGATTTAGGCCATGATCGGCATGTACTTAGGCCTCAAAGACAAAATTTCAAAATTTTTTTTATTCAATAACGGGACCTTAAGCAGAAGCAGAACAAAAATAATAAATGTCCATTGAGCTGTGCATACATGATGACCTGAAACAATTAACCCATTTAACTACAATTTCAATATTTACATACACAATGACAGAGCTTATACATATTTCTCACACTATATGAAAGACTTCAAACAAAACTGGGTTTGACGAAATAACTTCTTCTTCTTCTGACCCAAACTCGCCCCTAAAGATTTAGGCCATGATCGGCATGTACTTAGGCCTCAAAGACAAAATTTCAAAATTTTTTTTATTCAATAACGGGACCTTAAGCAGAAGCAGAACAAAAATAATAAATGTCCATTGAGCTGTGCATACATGATGACCTGAAACAATTAACCCATTTAACTACAATTTCAATATTTACATACACAATGACAGAGCTTATACATATTTCTCACACTATATGAAAGACTTCAAACAAAACTGGGTTTGACGAAATAACTTCTTCTTCTTCTGACCCAAACTCGCCCCTAAAGATTTAGGCCATGATCGGCATGTACTTAGGCCTCAAAGACAAAATTTCAAAATTTTTTTTATTCAATAACGGGACCTTAAGCAGAAGCAGAACAAAAATAATAAATGTCCATTGAGCTGTGCATACATGATGACCTGAAACAATTAACCCATTTAACTACAATTTCAATATTTACATACACAATGACAGAGCTTATACATATTTCTCACACTATATGAAAGACTTCAAACAAAACTGGGTTTGACGAAATAACTTCTTCTTCTTCTGACCCAAACTCGCCCCTAAAGATTTAGGCCATGATCGGCATGTACTTAGGCCTCAAAGACAAAATTTCAAAATTTTTTTTATTCAATAACGGGACCTTAAGCAGAAGCAGAACAAAAATAATAAATGTCCATTGAGCTGTGCATACATGATGACCTGAAACAATTAACCCATTTAACTACAATTTCAATATTTACATACACAATGACAGAGCTTATACATATTTCTCACACTATATGAAAGACTTCAAACAAAACTGGGTTTGACGAAATAACTTCTTCTTCTTCTGACCCAAACTCGCCCCTAAAGATTTAGGCCATGATCGGCATGTACTTAGGCCTCAAAGACAAAATTTCAAAATTTTTTTTATTCAATAACGGGACCTTAAGCAGAAGCAGAACAAAAATAATAAATGTCCATTGAGCTGTGCATACATGATGACCTGAAACAATTAACCCATTTAACTACAATTTCAATATTTACATACACAATGACAGAGCTTATACATATTTCTCACACTATATGAAAGACTTCAAACAAAACTGGGTTTGACGAAATAACTTCTTCTTCTTCTGACCCAAACTCGCCCCTAAAGATTTAGGCCATGATCGGCATGTACTTAGGCCTCAAAGACAAAATTTCAAAATTTTTTTTATTCAATAACGGGACCTTAAGCAGAAGCAGAACAAAAATAATAAATGTCCATTGAGCTGTGCATACATGATGACCTGAAACAATTAACCCATTTAACTACAATTTCAATATTTACATACACAATGACAGAGCTTATACATATTTCTCACACTATATGAAAGACTTCAAACAAAACTGGGTTTGACGAAATAACTTCTTCTTCTTCTGACCCAAACTCGCCCCTAAAGATTTAGGCCATGATCGGCATGTACTTAGGCCTCAAAGACAAAATTTCAAAATTTTTTTTATTCAATAACGGGACCTTAAGCAGAAGCAGAACAAAAATAATAAATGTCCATTGAGCTGTGCATACATGATGACCTGAAACAATTAACCCATTTAACTACAATTTCAATATTTACATACACAATGACAGAGCTTATACATATTTCTCACACTATATGAAAGACTTCAAACAAAACTGGGTTTGACGAAATAACTTCTTCTTCTTCTGACCCAAACTCGCCCCTAAAGATTTAGGCCATGATCGGCATGTACTTAGGCCTCAAAGACAAAATTTCAAAATTTTTTTTATTCAATAACGGGACCTTAAGCAGAAGCAGAACAAAAATAATAAATGTCCATTGAGCTGTGCATACATGATGACCTGAAACAATTAACCCATTTAACTACAATTTCAATATTTACATACACAATGACAGAGCTTATACATATTTCTCACACTATATGAAAGACTTCAAACAAAACTGGGTTTGACGAAATAACTTCTTCTTCTTCTGACCCAAACTCGCCCCTAAAGATTTAGGCCATGATCGGCATGTACTTAGGCCTCAAAGACAAAATTTCAAAATTTTTTTTATTCAATAACGGGACCTTAAGCAGAAGCAGAACAAAAATAATAAATGTCCATTGAGCTGTGCATACATGATGACCTGAAACAATTAACCCATTTAACTACAATTTCAATATTTACATACACAATGACAGAGCTTATACATATTTCTCACACTATATGAAAGACTTCAAACAAAACTGGGTTTGACGAAATAACTTCTTCTTCTTCTGACCCAAACTCGCCCCTAAAGATTTAGGCCATGATCGGCATGTACTTAGGCCTCAAAGACAAAATTTCAAAATTTTTTTTATTCAATAACGGGACCTTAAGCAGAAGCAGAACAAAAATATAAATATAAATATAAATATAAATATATTTATTAATTATAAAATATATTAAGTAGACATGATGTTTGAAAAAAATGTAATAAAGATATAAATAATGCACACAATAAATAAAATATATGGTACATTTATCAACAAGGAGTATTGTGGTTTTATGGAAAGTACTCAAACATCTTGCTTGAGATCTTGTATTCAAAACTTGGAGCTTGTTTTTTGCAGAAGCAAGCGCCAGTTTCCAATCCGCTGGTTCGATTGAACTGGTACTGGGTCATCTGGTTTGACTAGTTCAATTAAAGGAGGCTGGTTTTCGAAGTGAAACGGGTTAAAGGGTATGTTTGGACTGGAACCTAGACTGGTTGATGGGTCAACTGGTCGAATCGGCCGGTCCGGTCTGGTTTATAAAACATAGGGGTGTTGACTATGAGTGTTGTATCTCTTCTTTCATATATCTCTATTCTCTCTCTCATTCTTAAATCGTCTTTGACTTTCTTGGCATCACTTCTCTCTTCTTTATGTTCTGCTATCTTATCTCATTGTTTTCCTATATTCTATCTTCTCTCTTTCATTGTTTTCATATGTATCTTGTAATTATATAAAAAAATCTTCATATCATTTTGCTCATTACAAGTTCAAAGAGATCTGTTGAAAGTCGTGCTACATCAATTTGGTATCAAAACCAAAGATCCTTTGATTAAGAATCTTCTCAATGGTGAAGATTGGCAAAACTCGAGATCGAGTTTTCTGCAACAAAAGGTGATTGATTTAGCCACGCACAAGAAATGACAAGATTTCTGGTAGTTTTAATTGATTAATATTATGAAAAGTTTTTAGATATGTTTTTTTTTATAGATATTGTTGCTGTATTTTCTTCCTTTTAGGACTTGTCAGTGGCTTTGGTGATAGGATTTAAGTTCAACTAGGTATCTATGTTGGGTAGGAAGGGTTTTTTAACAAGGTTTCTATGAGTTATTGGATTTTTCTTGAGCTGTATAGGCTATATTGCTGTAAAACAATTGCGGGTTTACAATTTTGATCTCCCACAGATAAACAAAGTTCAGATTTGATTTGATTGTGGGTTTACAATCTTCTTTACCATTATCTATTTCTTTTCTTAGGTTGATACTCTCTTCTCCTCTCTATCTCTCTCTTCTTTATCTCCGGCTCTCTTCATTACTCTTCATCTCATCTTTTTCTCTCACATCTTCTCTCTCATTTATTTCTAATTTTTTCTCTCATCTCTTCTACTTGATTCCTCTGACTTTCTTGCTATCTCCTCATTTCTCCTTTATGTTATTTTCTCATCTAATCTCGTTAGTGTCGTCCTCCCATATTATGTTCTCTCTCTCTCTCTCTCTCATAATATTAAAAAAAAAACCCACAAATAATTGTATCATTTTGTCCATAACATACTTGAAGAACTCGTCATGAAGGTCATGCTACATCATAACATTTCTAGGGTTCTTGATCCTACAGACTTGTTTGGTTTTATTAGTTGTTTTGATCCGAAAGGATGCCAATGAAGAAAAGGTGATTAAGAAGACAGACTAGATCTAGAGAAAGCACTTCAAGAACAGAGTTTGCTCTACTACTTCAATGCTGTTTTTTGATTTGTGACTTGTTGAATAAAGAATGCAAAGGATGGGCAGGTACAATTCATGAGACCTCTAGAGAATGTTGTTTCTCTGAGAAGTTGATGAAAGAAAATCTCTTTTGTTCTTAGGGTTCCCACATTTAAATGGGTTCTAGAATTCATCAAAAGTGGATGGATAAAATACAATTAGTGATGGGGATTTAATGCTGCCACCAAACTAGCGGAGCAGGATAATGCACACTAAAACTGGTTTTCACCTTCCCAAACAGCTCCCTCCCTCCCTCCCTCCCTCCCTGCCCAACTTCCTTCTGTTTCTTTTTTCTTTTTCTTTCTCGATGCATAATCTAGGCATGGAGATATTCCTATTGGGGGGCCATCACTATGACTGCCTGGCATGCTGATTTCATTTTGTTATTCTTTCTCTTCTTTGGGTACATAACTCATACAATGTGTTGAATCAAGTTTCTTTAGGAGACCATTAATGAAAACATTTGTTCATTTCACTTAAACAGGAAACGTTTATTTAGCTTGATAAATGATCTTCCTACCACATTTGAAGTCGTAAAAGAGATGAAGCCTGTAAAGGACAAGCCAAGTATGGATAGCGGAAGCAAATCCAAAATCAGCACTAAGGTAAACTGTTCAATTACATAAAAGATAGTTTTTTCTCTTCTCCATCCTTGAATCATGACATGGTTGTATAAACCCTGAACTCTGCACTGCAGAGATCAAGTGATGGACAGTCAAAAAACAATCTGAAGCTATATGATGAGAGTTATGAGGAGGATGAAGATGAACACGGTGAAACCCTTTGTGGGAGCTGTGGGGGAAATTACAGCGGTGATGAGTTCTGGATAGGCTGCGACATTTGTGAGAGGTGGTTCCACGGCAAGTGCGTAAAAATAACACCAGCCAAGGCAGAAAATATCAAGCAGTACAAATGCCCGTCTTGCAGCACAAAGAAGAGCAGGCAGTAGTGGCTGAATCAAGCTTTTGGATGGGTTAACCTGATTGTTTAGTTGACTATTAGGGGCTCTAAACCAGTTCCGTTGTCTAGTAAAGCTTCTTGTCCTTCTCTCTCAAGTTTCGACCCTTCTTGTCCTCTTATTTTTTGAGGGTCCGTTAGTTGCTACAATTGTTTATTGGCGATCATATCTCTTCGAAGTTCAAGGTTCGGGCTTGCTGCCCTTGCGAAGCATACCTGTTTGATGTTTCTGTATAAGATTATAAATGTTTGATGTACGTTGGTTTCAATTTTAAGAGAATGTTGGTTTGTAATTTGTTTGTTTAGGGCCTTTGTATCGTGTATCTATCTGTTGCCATTTCCATCATGAAGGGCTATAATTTGATTTACTTGGTTTAAAGGTTTATAATTTATATTTTTATCTATTCAAAGTACAAACAAGAAAGGTGCCATCTCTCTATTCTCTATTGTCTCAATGCTCGTTTTGCTTTTATCAAATTAGTCTTCCCTTGCCCTCAATGTAATTGCTTTTTCATCACATACACTTTGTTTTGTTCACACATGAAATAAATTGAGTAATAGTATGTTGATAACACGAGCAGGCAGATCCTCTGTCCTAGATCTCACCTTGTTGCAGGGCACATGATATTTCTCTCTGATTTGATCCTATGGTGGGGAAGGGCACACGATAGTTCTCTTTGATTTGATCATGTGGTGGAGAGTCTTGGATAGGGGAGCTTTTGGACACAGAATCTTCTGATAATCAACTATTGGCATCGTGCTATAGTAATTTAAAAACAAATAAATTAATTAATTGTTTAAGTTTAATTTAAAAATATATTTAAATTTGATTTATAACAAGTCGATTTGAAACAAGCATTAAGTAGTTGAGCGATACGAAAGACTGCTTGGTATTTGCATCTTGTATTGTAAAAAAATATTGGGCGTCACTATTACTGCTTGGATTGTGATACTGTTATATATTGGGTTATTTTGAGAAGTAGGTGAAAAGTTAGTTTTTAAATTTTTTTGATTTTTTTTTGAAAGTAAAAAAATAAAAAATAGAGAGGTGATATAACTCAAAAGAGATTAAAATTTAAAAAGTTAGTTTTTAACCTCTTTACAAAAGAGGCCACTGTTGCATCTAATAATTAGGTCTCATTTGACAATTTTTTATTTTAGTTAAAAAATCAAAAAGTCACTATAAATTATTACATTCTTTCTACTTTTCTACATATCCTTTCATAAAAAGTTAAAACGTTATTAAAATAATTTATTTTGAAATGAGTTTCTTGTCGTGAGCCTTTTGAATACTAGTATTTTGAGATTTTTATTTATTTATTTTTTGAAAGCAACTTACTTTTTATTTAAGGTATGCTAAAAAAATAAGTTTCGTTTTTCTTATTTCTTTTTTTTTCTTGAATTTTTTTTTAAAGCGACTTACTTTTTATTTAAGAAATACTACAAGAATATATTATGAACTAATTGAAATACAAGTACTTGAAAAATGATTTCTTCATAAATCTCCCAATTTTAATTTTATCATTTCGGTCTTCAAAGTTGTCGATTCGAATCAATTTAGTCCTAATTCATCTACATTGATAATGGGAATAGTACGGATAAAATACAATTTTAGTTCTTAAAATATGCGTACATTGTCATTTTAGGCCCTTAAGTTTCAATTTTTATCATTTTGGTCTTTAAAATTGTCAATTTAAATTAATTTGGCCCTAACTTCAATCATATTATGTCACATGTCTATTTAGCTTGAATATATACCCTATTGTACTGTATCAACAATCTAAATTACTGTAATATCATTAAATGGCTAATAATTTATATATATATATATATATAATATTTTAATATTTATATGTATAATTTGGATTTCGGATTGTTCAGTTTGTTTGATATCTTTGTCCAAGTCCTTCTAAATTTAATTCGGATTTCTAAATTTTTGTTCAAGCTCACACCGGATTCAAAAATATTTTGTCCAAGCATTAAAAAAAGTTGGGCTAGGGTCAGGTTGACCTTGCCCAAGTTGTATTCGTAATGTAGACAGATGGTAGAGATAGAATCAAATTGACAATTTTGAGGATTAAAATGACAAAAATTAAAAATGACAAGAACCGCATACTTTATGGACTAAGATTGTCTTTTATCTATGTTCCCATTATCAATTTAGACGACGTTAGAAATATGATCAAATTGATTCAAATTAACAACTTTAAAGATCAAAATGATAAAATTAAGCTTAAATGACTAAAATGACAAATTACAAAATTGAATTGAATTGAAACTTAAGAGCTCTGGCTTGAAATTAAATTACTTCTACTTTTTGCTTCTTTTTCTTTTTCATATCTGGAACTACACTTTCTGGGAAGCGTATAACCAAATCCTATTTTCAAGGATTCCAAACCCAATCCAACAAGTAAACAGAAACTCTGGAAGGTAAAAACCCAAACCAAACCAAACCCAACCACATAGAAGTATGGGCCCAAATAAACCAGGTAAGCCCAAACTATAATTTGATAAAAGGAGAGACTGGCTCTGACAGGTGGATGGCCATGTGATTAGGGTAAATCCAACGGCTAAAGACGAATAAAAGTTGGCCACTACTGAAATATCTTCTACTGAAATGGCCTTTGATAAAAGGATATTCGTTCGATCAACAAAGATCAGTTGATCATCCATAAGTACAAGTTGGCCACTATCTTTGACATGTAACCAATCATTTAATCAATAAAAATCGGACCATCAATAGCACTCGTATGTTGGCCATTACCAAAAGTGACCGCTAACAAAGAGCCGACCACCCGATCGGTAGATATCCAATGGTTGACGACAATGCGTTTATTAACAAAAATTTCGTTTGGATCAAATCGACAGAAGAGATTCGATAGGGAAATTAGCTTTCACGAACAACTCAATTAGACAATGTGGTTGGTGTCTTATAGCTTGACAGATTTAAAGACTTTTTTGGAGATTGTAATGTGAATAAACAAATACGAACACATTAATATTGGTAATAAAATTGAAACTTGTTACTTAATTGCATTAATCAAACAACAAGCACAATTTTTGTTACACAATTGACATAAATAAAAAAAGTTACAAGAACCGAAACTAACTATTAAAAGCTACTCCTAAATTAAGATAATCTACTCCTAAATTAAGATAGACTACTCATAAATAAAGAACTCTCATAAATTTGATGTTTTGTTGATGCCCCCACTTATTTCTCCTTCAGCCTATTTATAGGCTTAACATTGCCACAAACTACTGCTAAACCACGTTGTCACAAACTGCTCCACCATGATAGCACGTTGCTGCCACATAACCATGTTGCCCCACTTCCTTGGTAAGTTGGTACCATGATCTTGCACCAAACGAATAATAATAATAATAATAATAATAATAATAATAATAATAAATAAAAAGAAAAATAATAAATATGTGGCCATAATTTTATGTTAAAAATAATTTATGATCGACAAATCAAAATTGACTGGTCACAACCAATGGAATTAAATTTGGCCATAGTTGACAAGTCACAATCAATTAAACGAAACTTGACCATAATCAACAAGTCATAACATATAGAAAATTATTTTTTAATGTCAACAATGCCCCCCTCGTTTAAGGTAATAGTAAATTTTATCTTAAATGATATAAAAGACAAAATTTGGATCAATTCGTATTTACTAAAATTTATTTTGACCATAATCGACATGCCACAATTGATATAAACTAAATTATAATGAAAACCATACCTTTCAACTCTTTAAAAATGAGATCACTCGAATTGTTTAAAATAAATGCTAGTCACTCATCTAAGATGCAATATTAATGAAAATGGCTTTTGCAGTTAAATAACATCTTTGAAGCCATTGACTTCTTCAACTAATCTTTAGCATCCTCTCATTTCTAGGCTTTTGAACACGTGTACCTCTAAACCAACGAATAGAACACAACCTTTCTCTGTCTTTTTCTTTTTCTTTTTTTTATTTCAAATTTGGCATGATAATCGACGGAATGCATATGGCGAGGGCCAATTTTTGGCCAATTTTCTTTCACTCAAACCAATGAATAATTTAAAAGAGAACACAATTAATTATTTTCCCAAAGCCACTTATTGTCTTGGCCTGATATTCGACGGGATAAAAACAAAGTGAGCCAAGTTTTGGCCAATTTTCTTTCACTCAAAAATATATGTAAAACAATCGAGATACTATCTAAATTTTGGTTTTTTGATTGCCACTCCATCAAATTTGTATTTTGGTGTAACTCACAAATTCAAAATAAATTTTGAATAACAAAAGTCGTAGTATAAATTGACTTTAAAAACTCGTATATTTCATCATTTTGAATGATATCAAAAATGTTGAATTCATAAACAGTAGGTTGTTCATCAATTTTAGCCATGTTTGATTCTAAAACTTGTTTTTCTCCCAAATAATTTTTATCATCTTTTATCAAAAGGGATTGTTGTTCATCATTTTTTTTTGTCCTTTTTGTTCATCATTTTTACCCATATTTAGCTTAAAATTATACCACCATGTTCATAATTTTTAGCCATTATGCCCCCTAAGTAAATCTTCACCATCATTTTGTGATGAACATCTTTGGGAGAATGGGCTATTTTTTAATTTTAGCCATTGTTGGCTTATGAAAACTCTCTAAAGTCATGTTATCTTCATGACTTGGTGTGTTGATCTCTTGAGCCATATTATTTTCATACCTTAGCTCTTCATGAATAACGTTTTGCATTTTGCGAGCCAACTTGAATTTAAATATGGTGTTTAGTTCTTCAAACAATTCTTGCTTTTCATGTGGAAGCTTGCTTTCCAATAATTGCTCTGTTCGAAGAAGAAGAGCATTTTTGAGTTTTATGAATGAGCCTCCAGTTTGGCCCAAGCTGAATCTCCATGCATATCCATTTGCTCATTCTTTGCCATCACTTCAAATTAAATAGGTCGCACTGGACGTGCCAAAATATGTTAGTAAAAATATGGTTTGAGTCAAATCGACAGAAGAGATTTGTGTAGACACCCCATTTTTGACCGACCTTAAGACTCAGACGTCACCGATTGAGCGCTTGGTGATATTACATAACGTGCTCGTTCAGAAGTTCTAGAGTCACGGCCGTGAGCCCTGCCTCCGGACTTCCGAACCCTCTTTTGGAGTTTCTCATGAACTGTAAGTAGGCTTATTTTGAGCCACTCTTCAACATTGAAGAAGGGTTCATCTTTGTTTGGGACCTCCATGTACCACTTGTCTTTATATCCATCTTTGGTCCCCTATTCTTGTATGACTTGGCAGCCTATCTTGGTTCCATTTTTGGTCATTTTACAGAGCTAGAAAGTCCTTATTTTGGCCCATTCTTCATGTTTCATTAAGGGCCTTTCATGGTTTGAGGCATATTTTATAC